AATCCGCGGCCCTATTTTTGTTTTTTTTGAGACAAAGTCTTATGCAGTTCAGTCTGCCTCTTTGGCTCACTTTTTTTTTTGGTACCGGGGATCGAACTCGGGACTTTGCGCTTACGAGGCAGGCGGCAGAACCACTGAGCTAAATCCCTGGCCCAAATTAATTTTAACAAAGCACAATCTATTTGTTTCCTTTTGTAATTGCTGTTCTTCATGTCCTATGAAATATTATTTGCCCATTTCTGTCTAGAAATTTGAGATTTACATTTAGGTTTATGATCCAATTCAAATGAATTTTGAGGTACGCTATGTGGAAGTTGAAGTTATTATTCCCTATGTGTTCAGCTAATAGTTGTAGAAAGACTTAACTTTCCATCACTAAATTACCTTCTCGTCTTTGTCAGAAAACCAATGGACCTTATATCCATGGGTCTACTTCTGGGCAGCTGTTCTGTTGAGCTGATCTCTGTGTATACCCCTACCATATTGTCTTGATCACTGTGCTCAGTCTTGAAACCTAGTAGTGTTTTCTCATTTTTTGTTTTGTTTTTTGAGACAGGGTCTTGCTATGTAGCCCAGGTTGGCCTCGAACTCACAGCAGTCCTCCTGCCTCAGCCTCCCTAGTGCTGCGATCACAGTCGTCTGCCACCACACCTGGCAATTCCAATATGTTTTTTTTTTTTTTTTTTTTGGTACGGGGGATCGAACTTGGGATGTTGTGCTTGGCAGCTCCAATCTTTAACTTGTTTTATCAATTCTAGGGTGTTTGCATTTACATTTAAAATTTAGACTCAGCATGTTAATTTCTATTTTTCACTAAGGAAAATACACAAATGGCCAAAAAATCCATGTAAAGAGGTTCACATCTTTAGTCATCTGAAAAATACACATGGAAATCACAGTGAGGCACCACTGCATATCCACTAAAGGGCTGCAGTTTTTAAAGGCTGGCAGTCTAGTTGTTGATAAGCATATGGAATAACTAGAACTATCCCAGTTGCCAGCAAGAAAGTAAAATGCTAGAACCACTTTGAAACCAGTTTGGTGCCTTGGAAGTGGGGGGAGGGATGTCTCAGTCTTGCTGTGTAGCTCAGACTGGCCTCAAGTTCACTGTGTCACCTAAGCTGGCCTTGAACTTGCAATCCTCCTGCTTCAGCCTCCCAAGTGCTAGGGTTACAGGCCTGTGTCACCATGCCCTTGTGGACCTTTCTTAATGGTTGTGTCCCAGCAGTCCTCCTGCTCAATGAAGACTTGTATATGAACATTCACAACTGCTTTTCTCAAAATAAGTCAAATTGGAAATGGCACAGGTGTCTCGTATCAAGAGTGGATTAACACATGGCTGTGTGTTCATATATTGGAATATTGCCCAGTAGTACAAAAAAACAGACTGCAGACAGATGCAGCCACACATATTAATCCCAGCCATGCTGAGCAAAAGCAGCGAGACACAAAGAGGCCATTCTGTGTGATTCTCTATATGGAAGTTCCAGAATAAACAAAGCCAATAAGTAGCAGATGTGTTTTCCTGCAGTGGGGGCTATAGACGATAGAGTTGAATAAGTCATACAAAGGAGTTCCTGAGGGTTAATGGAAGTATCCCTATGTTGAGTGGAGTTTGTTGATCTGAGTAGGTACTTTGTCAAAACTAATCCAACTGTACAGTTTTCTAAAATGGATATATTTAACCAGATGTTCTGGAATAGGCTGTAATCCCTGTACTCTCGTGGGCTGATGTAGGAAGACCACAAGTTTGAGCCAGCCTAGTCAACTTAGTGAGACCCTGTCTCAGAATTAAAGGGCTGGGGATATAGTTCATTGTGAAGGCCTTGGATTTAATTCTCAGTAACACACACACATGTAAATCATACCTCTATAAGGCTTGCTTAAAAGAACACAGGTAGGTAGTTAAGAAGTGGGTAGTGGAGAACTAGAAAGTTCATCACAAGTACCATCAACTTTTAAGTCAACCTATTAGCACAAGAAAAACATTATATCAGAAGATCCCAACCTACCTGATTGAAAACAAGGGGTTATGAAAAGGACTTAAACCTCGAGGGACAAGCCAGGTGGGCAGATTGTTGTGAGAGAACCTTGTGATCACACGGCTGAAGCTTCGAGTCAGATTGTGAAAAATAGTACCATGTTGTCTGGCCCACATTTTCGTGGAGTGATTGCTTAATTTATAAGAAAAGGAGATTTTAAAAAATAAAAACTTTAAGAAAAAACTTACTGCCTAGTATTACTTGATAGAATGCTGGATTTTTTTTTTTTTTTTTTTTTTTACCGGGGATCGAACTCGGGTCCTTGCACTTGCGCAGCAGGTGGTGAAACAACTGAGCTAAATCCCCAGCCCAGAATGCTGGATTTTTAATGTGATTGAATTCAGACAGAGTACTTAAGAACTAGGTGGCGATAATAAAAATGGGCCTCAAAGGCCGGGGATTTAGCTCAGTGCTGCCGTCGCCTGCCTTGCAAGCACAAGGTCCCAAGTTCGATCCCTGGTACAAAAAAAAAAGTGGGCCTTAAAAGCAAAACCACTTTCAATTGATTGCAGGTCGCATGTTGTGAGGGTGCACATGTGAGGGGTAAGCTTTCCTAATGTAGGAAAGCAAGGGCAAGAGCTGTTGGGACTGAGGGGCCTGCTGAGCCTCCCTTGACTCCCTTCCTCCCTTTGCATTGAGCTTGTCATGACAGGAATGTATGAAGGGGCAGGAGTACTGAGCACTTAGAATACTACCGTCATTGTTTAATAAAGCACTTTCGTTCTTGTGTTGGTGAAAAACTGAAAAAATTATATGAAGAGAGATGTACCCAGATCTTAAAAGTCTAGATTTTTAAAACTTTAAACTTCAGATTAAAATCTAAAACTTCTGTGCCACTTTATACATGGTGGGACTTCAGAATAGTACTGTATCATAAAACAAAGCTTATATTTCTAATTCCAGAAGATTCAAACTTTTATAAATTCTGGATACCTATCATCCCAATCAGCCTCCGAGTTCGTGATTTTTGCGGTGGTAGGGGGTACCGGGGATCGAACTTGGGACCTTGCGCTTGCGAGGCAGGCGCCAGAACCACTGAGCTAAATCCCCAGCCCTCTCCGATCTCTTCTTTAAAGGATATTAGTCTAGTTCTTAAAAAAAAAAATTCTTGTTACTTATAGTGAAAATGAGACAGTTTGACCCCAATGTGCTTGGCTAACAGTTTTGGATGGTGGTGCTTTACACTTGCCCAAATCTCTTATAAATCTTGCTGCTTCTGTTTGGTGGCACCTACCTGAGAACTTCCTAGCCAAGACGGAGATGCTAGTGAGAGAGGGAGACAGAGCAAGGCCCGTGGTTCCCAGTGTCAGCTTTGTGGTAGCATCGTATTCTGAGTCTGTAAGCATATCACTTGTAGACGTTGCCTGAAAGCTCTTCCGTGTGAAATAGCATGTATACCTGTAAAATTAAAGTTCATAGTCTAGAAGTAGCCCTGGGATGTCACAATTGGTTGTTGTTGGTTTTTTTTTTTGTACCAGGGATTGAACTCTGGTCCTTGTGCTTGCGAGGAAGGTGGCGGAACCACTGAGCTAAATCCCCGGCCCACAGTTGGTTTTATTGTATTGTATTGTATTGTATTGTATTGTATTATATTGTATTGTATTTGTATTGTATTTGTATTGTGTTGTATTGTATTGTATTATTTTTTGGTATCAGAGATTGAACTTGGGTCCTTGCGCTTGTGCAAGTGGTTTTTAAAGGAAGCATTGCAGGTACTTCTGCTCAGGCATTTCCTGTGCCTGATCCCTTTTCGGGTGGGTTGCCCACAGCTGTCACTGCTTTGTAATCAGTGGTGGTGATTTTGTTTAGTATTTTTCCTCTGTCCTGGTCTCTTTGTCACATTCCCATGGCTATCTGTGCCAAACATACAGAAAGGAATTAACAAACCTCCATTACATGTAGTAAAGACGTAAAGGACATTGCTAAACAATTTTTTTCAAAGGGTAGCTCTGGAATAATAGACATTTAGTTGATGCTTTTACATTTATACTTGGCCATATTCAACATATAATTCTAGCTTTCTTTGTCCTTTTCATCCACAAAAATTGCAATATAAAGTACAGTCCCAATTTTATATGTCTACACATTTCAAGGTCACTTATTTCCTTGATTTGCCTAGAAATAGTGATTTGTAAAACAGATTTGATAGACTCCTTTCTCATGCTGTGCAGGACTTAGCAGAAGGTGGTTTAAACTGAAGTGCCCAGGGAAGGTCTAGCACCAAGTGCAATATAGTATCGAGGTAAGGAGCATCTCTGCAAAATGAAGCCTTAGGTGATAGCCTACAAGGAAGGAGTGGAATTTGTTCATGCTCCAATATAAAATGTAATTGTTGGCTTGTCCATCTTTTTTTTTTTTTGGTACTGGGGATTGAACTTGGGTCCCTGCACTTGTGGGGCAGGCATCGGAACAATTGAGCTAAATCCCTGTCCCCTTGTCCATCTTCTTAAAGGTAAATGTCAAACATTAAAAATATAGAGAGTAATCTGGGCATGGTGGTGCATGCCTGTAATTCCAGCACTCTTGGAAGCTGAGGCAGGAGGATTTGCAGGTTTGAGCCCAGCTTGATTAGCTTAGAAACTTAACAAGATCCTGTCTCAAAAAATAAGAAGGGCTGGGCATACTGCTCAACACAGAGGCCCTGGGATCAATCCACAGTGCTGTGAAAAAAGGAAAAGAGGTGAAAGTATGTTTCTGATTGTACAACATGCAAGTTCTGGAATCCCACCGAGTTGTATTCGAATCAGAGCCCTGCTCTGGCCACCTCTTTCACCTCAAGTAGTTACTGTCCTCTGAACCTCTGTGAAGGCAGAATAGTGGCACCTGTGCAATCTGTGGTGACTATATCAAGCACACCAAATGTTTGTGAGATACTTAAACCCACTACCAGGCCTGGAATAAACACAAAAACGGTCATGTGTGAAAGGCCATGACAAGATTTTTCATTTCTATTTCAAGGTGAATCGGGTCTAGGAAAATCGACTCTGATAAACAGCCTGTTCCTGACTGACCTCTATCCAGAAAGAATCATACCCGGAGCTGCAGGTAACTATTGTGAGGGTAATTCTGTGTGTAAGTTTTTAAACTTACATCTGCATAACTTTTTGTTACACTGTTTTTAGCATATGCTCTTTAGCTACATGTACTACTTTTGTTAGCTATTTAGTCTCTTCTTGGGTTTTCCTTGAACACAGGAAAATCACCTGGGGCAAGCGTGCTGCACCGGAGGTCCTGGGGTCTTGGTTGTAGAATTTCATGCATTTGCCTGTGTCTCTCCTTTCTGTGAGTTTATGTGTAGTTTCTGCCTGTATTATACAGTGGATAGGAGGATCAAGTGAGAGCTTTATGTTGTTAAAATGCTACTTACAGCTGGGAAGCTAAGGCAGGAAGATTGCAAGTTTATGGCCTGCCTGGGATACATACATAAAAAATTACCGTGGAAATTAATGTCTGAGTGTTCCAGTATAGGACGCAGCATCCATGAATATTTGGGGACTCGGTGGGTTGAACACAAAGTCGGAGGCTGAGTCTTGGGCTGCCATAATAAGGGCAGATAGTTCTTTTTTGCTAGCATTTTAAAATTCATATGTTGTTTTCTTTTCTCTCCTTCTTTTTTTTTTTTGTACCGGGGATTGAATTTGGGTCCTTGCACTTGCAGTGCGGGCAGCAGAACTGAAACCACTGAGCTAAGTCCCCAGCCCCATATGTTGTTTTCTTTGTCCCTAAAACATTGTAATTTTTATTGACATGTTTAACCTTCCCCAGCAGTATGTTAATCTTTTTTTTTTTTGGTACTAGTGACCGAACTCAGGGCCTTGTGCTTGCTAGGCATGCATGTGCAGTGCCACTGAGCTAAATCCCTCTCCCTGCGTTATGTTAATCTTAGCATTGAAATTTCCCTTGATGTCTCTGGTTTCCTTTTACACAGTCCCTGTGCTCTTCTGAGACCCTTCCTCCAGAAAGAGGTAGCAATCTTCTAAGTTGTTGTGAGAAAATTAGTAACAGGTGTCTTAGTTACTTTTTTCATTGCTGAGACAAAATACCCAACACCTTGCCGGGGATTTAGCTCAGTGGTTCCAGCGCCTGTCTTGCAAACGCAAGGTCCTGAGTTCGATCCCCGGTACAAGCAAAAACAAAAACCCAACACCCAAGGTTAGATCAAGAAAGGTTTATTTAGCTCACAGATCATAGAGTTGGCTGGCTCCAAGACAGGGTGCCGTAGCAGAGGGGTATCTCAGAAAAGGAGCAGTTCATGGCAGCAGAAGGTAGCAAAGTAAGTGACAAGTCTCTTTCTGTCCCTGATATCTTATCCAGGCTATCCACTCTTAAGGCGGATAGCACACATACCCTTAATCCTACCATTGCATTCTTGATCCTAGCGTCACATACCCTAGATCCAGCCACCTCTGAAAAGCCCTACCTGTAACTAACTGCATGAGGCTTAGGGAGAACAACTAGATACAAGCCATAACATTCCTGGCCTCGCAGAGGTTCATGTACATTTCTTTATGCAAAAGGTATTTAGTTCATCTCAGGGAGTTTCTGGAGTCCTAACAGTTGCAGTATTGTTGAGAAGTCAAATCCAAAGTCTTCTCTGTAATTTAAAGCAAACTCTCAGCTGGGAGCCCCTGTACAAATGAAAACAAAGTTAAACGTCCAACATACAATGGCACAAGATAGACATTTCCATTCCAAAAGGTACCAAGAGAGGGATAGAGGGGAATGGGAATAAAGCAAGTCCAGAATCCAGCAGGGCAAACATTAAATCCTGTAGTTGCATATGTAGCATCTGAGGCAATCTGTGGCAAGATGTGAACTCCAAAAGGCTTGGGTGGCTCTGCCTTATGGCACTGATGGTGGTTGTAGCTCCTATGACTTCTCTGTTGGACTGGTTCTGCTCCCCCTTGGAGTTTTCCGTAGATGATCTACATTCCTGGCTTCTCTAACCTCTTGTGGTCTCCACTGCATCTTTAGCTTTGCACTCACAGCTTCACACACTGCCTTCTTGGGCACACTATCTTGTCTCTCAGGCTCCTCCTGAAATCTGGGTGGAAGCCTTCCTGACCCCACAACTCTTGCATTCTGCCTGCACCTAAAACCAGCACCATGTGGATAATGCCTAGGTCTGCTGCCAGCTAGGCATCCTCTCTTCATTGTATGCTTGTGTTCTTCTGAGACCTTTCCTCCAAAGAGAGGTAGTGATCTTCTAAGTTTTTTGTTGTGGGAACATTAAAAATAGCTAATTTCTCCTCTTTGTACAGTGGCTTAATTTTAAGGTACACTCTCTATTAAATTTACTTCTTTTCTAGAGAAAATTGAAAGAACTGTCCAAATTGAGGCTTCAACCGTTGAGATTGAAGAGCGTGGGGTTAAGCTGCGCCTTACGGTGGTGGATACGCCTGGCTATGGGGATGCCATCAATTGCAGGGATTGGTAAGCACCCAAGAGGTCACAGAGCCCAGAGTGCCGAGGACTCTACATGTGTTTACTGGGATTTAAACTTATGTTAATGAGTAGTCATTAGACTGGGAGTAGCTGTATCCAATAAAACAGTATGAAAATTAAAACAAATACATTTTTAATAAGAAATGATAGGGAGAATAAGTGTTTTTTTGCTAAGAGCACCATAGTGAGATCTGAGATGAATAAAGCAATTGCTGCCAGGCCTAGTGATGCACACCTGTAATCTCAGTGGTCTGGGAGAGGAGGGCAGGAAGATCACAAGTTCAAATCTTGCCTGCACAACTTAGCAAGACCCTTTCTCTAAAATAAAAATTTTAAAAGGGCTAGGGATGTAGCTCACCCTGGGCTCAATCCCCAGTACCCTCACAGACACACACACAAGCCACCTGTCCATAGATTGCTAATATAAAGGAAACAGCTTAATTTTAACTATGGCTAGCAGATAAGTATCCCTTCTTGTAGGAGGAAGTGAGACCTTGCAAGTTGCTTGAGTCAAGGTGCTTATAAATAACTGTTTACTGGCATTATTTTTTAATGTAAGGAGGTGAAATTAAAGAAGGTAGAGCAGCCTGCTGCCTGTGCCACATTGAAAATCCCACTCTTGTTGTATAAACTCCTTCCTAATTCTGAGCTTGTCACCCTAAAGGATCAAGTTGGCAGCACTAGATGACAGGCAGGAAAGGGAAGGTGCTTCTTTTGTCTCCCTGTAGCAGCAGTCCCTCCTTTTCACTGTCCCCTGAGCTGTGCTGCCCTCATTGCACCTCACAAGATCCTGCTGTGGACTGAGGGTCTCCTGCACCTCCCGTTTTTGGACGCTTTATAACATGTTCAGGCTGCTGACTCCCAGCATTGGAGGAAGATATGCTCAGCATACTTGGGAGAAACTTCAGTTTTGCCAAGTTGAGTCAGTTTGTTCTTATTTTTAAAATGAACTGTTAGAGTCTATGTATTTGGTGGGAAGGGGCAGTAAAACTTGTTTTGTCAAAGTTGAGGACTTCTTGTCTTTATATCCAAATTACTACTGAGGTTTGTGTTTTAGTTTTAAGACCATCATCTCCTACATCGATGAGCAGTTTGAACGCTACCTGCATGATGAGAGTGGCTTGAACAGGCGTCACATCATTGACAACAGGGTGCACTGCTGCTTCTACTTCATTTCACCTTTTGGCCACGGGTAAGGAATTGTTTACCACTGAGACCTGATTTCCTGCATGAGTTTGCAAGTTTCCCCCAAACTGCATATTGGAATACAAGAACTGCGAAGACTTTTGAGAGAGAAAAAATTTTGTGTGATCTTCCTGTTCTTTTCCTAGATACCTAAATACCTGTATGTGACTATTCTGCAATTGTTTTTAGGCTGAAGCCTTTAGATGTTGCATTTATGAAAGCAATACACAATAAGGTAAACATTGTGCCTGTCATCGCGAAAGCCGACACCCTCACTCTAAAGGAGCGTGAGCGGCTGAAGAAAAGGGTGAGTGCAAGCAGCTGGCAGTCCTCTGCCGGGTACTTGAGCAGGGGGAAGGGCACTGGCAGGTGCTGCCTCTGCCGGTGCCGAGGGCTGGGCTGTAGAATTTGCTCTGATTTTTTTTCCCTACATTTTGGTGGTGGAATTTCTAAAAACCTAAACTTGTAGTTTTTGCTAGTTTTAACATTTTGTTTTCATGAAAGTATCAAATCTCTATTCTGAAAATTCCCCATAGGCAAATCGTACCCACAACTAGTGGGAGTTGGCTGAGTGCCAGTAGGTCCCTTGTGTGTTGAGTAAGAGAGTGGGTGTATTGTCCCTTCATGAGGTTCTAGTGTTTTACCCAAACACTGTACAGCAAGAGGTCCATTTAAGGGTATATTTAAGCTAGATACAGTGGCAAACAATTGTAATCCCAACACTGGGGGAGGCTGAGGCAGAAAAACAAGTTTGGGCCCAGCCTGCACAACTTAATGACTAAGTGAGACCCTGTCTCAAAATGAAAAATAAAAAGGGCTGAGATACAGTGGTAGCTCAGTATGAAGGCCCTGGGTTCAGTCCTGGGTACTGCAAAGCAACAACACAGAGACATAGGGTGTATCCGTGCAGAGCAGTTCCTTGCTTGGGTTGTGAAGATGCTGCCCCAGCTGTCTGCTAGCTGATGTATCTCACCTCCTGGCTGCTTGGCTCTGTGCCCTGACTTAGTGCCCATTCCTGTGTATCTCTGTGAAGCCACTTGTTGACATTGCTGAATATTTTTAGAGGTTATTTACATTTTAAAATTATGCTCCTTGAGAAAGTCCAGTCTATGCATGCTGACCTCTGAAATAAGAGTACTTTTAATTACCCACAGAAACAGCAAATGTTAACAGTTAAGGCACTATCCTTCCAGAACATAGCTTATGTATATTTTTATTTTTACAGAGTGGAATCATATAATACTATACCGTCATGCAATTTTTCAATTTAAAAATAGATTTAAACCTCATCATATAAGGTTCTACTGCAGTTCTGACCAGATAGACACTATTCCACAGTAAGAATATACTGTAATTTGCTTTTTCATGTCTTTGTTGATATTTGGCTTCTTTTTTGCTTTGCTGACAGTTTTTTTTTGCGGGTGGAGTGGTACTAGGGATCGAACTCAGGACCTTGTGCTTGCAAGGCAGGCGACGGAACCACTGAGCTAAATCCCTGGCCTCTTTTTTGCTTTGTTTTGGCCCCCTTTTGTCCTGACCAAATTGCCAATTGCTTTCCCCTGTGCTCTTCCTCAGACTCAATGTTTCTTCCTTGGGATATTTTTTGTTAGTGATATCTTTTTTTTAAAATTTAATTTTATTGATACATTTTAGGTATACAGTATAATGACATTCATCATTGGAAATTTGCACCTTTACATCATCTCTCTTGGTTCTTATTTTTCCCTCTTCCCCTGCCCTCCCTTCAACCCCTCTACCCCTCCCTATTTACAAAGACTTTGTTTCCAGTTTTTCATTTTCTCATATTAATTGCATTCCCTTCTTTCCTTTCCCCTACCCCTCCTACTTCCCCTTCCCCTTTGACCCTGTTCTTCCTATTTCACATTATCTATTATACCTTTTAGTCCCTATTTACACTTTCAGTTTCTCCCATTAGAGAAACTGTTCGGTATTAACACATGTATTTCCTGTTAACTTCGCTTAAGAGTATCACTTCAGTGTGCATCCATTTAGCTATAAATGTCTCTAATTTCTCATTTTTTATGGCTGAGTAGTACTCCATTTTAGAAAAAAAATTTGTTTCCTATGTTCGGATTCCATCATGTTCCTCAGCTCTATTTTTTTTAGCCGTGTCCTCTCTAGATTTATTAATCATGTCTTGCACTATGGGCACAATCTCTGCTGTTATCTTAGAAATTATTTCAGATTTCATTTTTTCCAGATCATCTTTCATTGTCAGTTCAGGGAGTCCAGGTGGTTGTATATCAGAGTTGTCCATCTCATTTCCCTTTGGGGTAGCTGTAGGTGATCTGGAAGTCTAGGTTTTTTTGTTTTGTTTTGTTTTTTGGTACCGGGGATTGAACTCGGGACCTTGTGCTTGCGAGGCAGGCAGTGGAACCACTGAGCTAAATCCCCAGCCCTTGGAAGTCTAGTTTTGAGACTTGTTTACGTGTCTTCTCATTTCTATGGGGGGTGTGGGGGGCTGCTGCTGGCACCCACGTGGCTCACCTCCTCTGTGCTGGGAGCAGTGCTACGGCAGCCCTATTAGTGATATCTTTTGTCTAGAAAATTTTTCTCCCAGATGTCCAACCTGACCATGTGATTTTTCCCTGTTTCATAAATACTCCTCTTACAGTACTCCAGCACATGACCTAAAACATTTCTTCACAGTATGTTTCGTCGCTTCTCCTCACTGCTTTCCCCAGTCCCCGATATCAAGGGTCTTCGCTTTATTTTCTTTTCTTCCAGTCATTCAGAATACTACCAGGCACATTGTAAGAACACAATAATTGTGCTTTATTGAACATTGTCACACATTTATCTATTCAAAATTGTATAAGTAAAGAAATTCTTCAAAAGGAAATTAATGCCTGTTTAAATTTTTGAAAGATAGCTAAATTTCAGGCTGGGGATTTAGCTCAGTGGTTCTGTGCCTGCCTCACAAGCACAAGTTCCTGAATTTGATCCCTGGTACCAAAAAAAAAAGTTAGCTAAATTTCCCCAAAAAGTCTGCTTGTAAAAAAGTATTTCCCCAAAGTGTCGTCTGCTCTCCACCCCACTCTCAGAACTCTCCTGGGTAGGTTACCAGGTTTTGTAAGTGTTTTCCCATTGTAGATGTTGGATCTCATTTTGATTTATGTCTTCTTGACCACTGGTGAGGGCGTGTCTATCCTTGTATGCACTGCCAGTTGGTGTTACCTTAGTGCGTTTTTTACCAATTCATGATATTCCTTAAATTTTTAGGCATTTGCTGAGTGTGATGGGATAAGCCTGGAGAGGCTGAGACAGGAGGATCACAATTTTGAGGCCCCCCCTGGACATCTTGGTTCAATCCCCAGTACTGCAGAAAAAGAAAAAAAAATGTATTTTCATTGATGTAGAGTAGAGGGACTCCACAGTTAGAAGACTCTATTGTAATCTCTAATCCTGTATGGAAAGCCTTCAGGGCCTGGTTACAAAGTCTGAGGGGAACTGAAACACTGTAGTGCATGCATTCGTCCTCATATTTCTTCCCATCCTGACAGGGGCACCGACTTCCTGGCTGTTGCTTACCTCTCTACACCCTGTTGCACTGTGGTTTCTCTCTATCCAGCTGGAGCTCTCCTTTCACAGGCTGCCAGCAGTTCTGCCCTTAGAGTGCACCTGCCCTACTTGGCTGTGGCACTGAGTGTGCCTTGTACTCTGTCTATTCCACCACCTGGCGCCTCCCTGACCCCTTGAGTCCAGTTTTTCCTGATCCTGCTGTGCTCACATCAGCTCTGTGGCTTTTGCTTTTCCCTTCCAAGGATATTCTTTGTTCATGTGAGCTGCATGTGCAACCAGGAGTCCAATTTCCACCCCATGAGCTCTTGTCCTTTCAACTTCCCTGTCTTTAAATTATAGTGCAGTTCTGTCACCCAGACTGAAAACGTGGTTTTAGGTCATCACTTTCTAACTCCTCTCCTCCACTTATAAATGATCTACTGTGTTAGTTTTTCCTCGCTGTGGCTTGAGTCTCAAATACTCAAATTCTCAAATACTTGAGAATGACAGAAGAGGAAATATTTATCTTGCCTGACAGTGTCAGAGGTTTCAGTACCTGGTCAGGTAGCTCTGTTGCTTTTAAGTCTGTGACAAGGCAGAAACATGGTGGAAGGGCATGTCCCAGGGAAGCTGCCCAATTCATGGCAGCCAGGAAGCAGAGACAGAGAGAGCTATAAAAGCAAGAGCAAGAGTAAGAAAGCCATAAAAGGGGCCAGGGATTTAGCTTAGTGGTTTCGCTGCCTGCTGCGCAAGCGCAAGGACCCAAGCTCGATCCCCCGTACCAAAAAAAAAAAAGCCATAAAAGAAAGGGCCAGAGGCCAGAGCCAGTCCCTAAAGTTGTACACCCATTATCCATGCCCTTCTAATAGGCTGTACCTCCTGTTTCTGTCACATCCTGTTAATGGTATCAAATTATGATCTCATCAGTGGAATGATCATTGATCAAGTCAGGAGTTGTCATGATGCAGTCACTTTCCCTAAGCCCATCAGCACCAATGCCTTCAACACAGGAACCTTTTGGGGACATTCATAGGTATTTCCCAGCTCAACTCCTGCTCACTGAGCCCTATCTTTATGAGAACAGCATAGACCAACATATGGGATCGGCAGGGATAGACAGTAGGCCAGGAAAGGCACCATGAGGTAATGACAGAGATCATGTTTGTGCTTATTGCTCAGTATCTCCCATAGGTGAAATAGTTCCTCCTATTCAGGAAGAAGGATTTATGCAGAGGGAGGTACTGGCTTGGAGGTAAAGTATATGGAGAGGTGGGCCTTTTTGTAGTCCAGAATTAGGAAAGACAGATTTTTGGTCATGCAGGACCCAGAAGGACTTCCATCTGTATGACCAAAGAGCCAGTCCTGTGCAGAGTGGAGGCCAGGGTATTTCCTGTAACTTTGCCTTGGTCCTTCCTCTTGGTGGCACAGGTCCCAGTGAAAATATGCAGAACTCCAGGCTGCAGTGGCTGCCTGGCCTGAGTCTTAACCAGTGGCTATTAAATGACTGCTAAGTGCTGCTCCAGCCCAGTTTTTCCTCCTTTCTGGGCCTCGTTGACAGATCCAGTTGTGAGACTCACTGCTAGTTGCATGCTGCCTTTAAATCAGAAGCCCTGCTCCCTCACTTGGTGTTCCAGGAACTCTCCACTTGGTACCACCAGGCTTTGTTCTCATATTTATCTAGATGTCTTAGAATCCACCCTCCAGAATTCTTGTTCTTGAAACACACCTCTCCTCTCCAGGCCTTTCATGAGGTGGTTCTTCTGCCTAGGTTGGTTCTCTCTCCTCTCCATCTGTGAGGCTCCTGCCTGTTCCCCAGGGACTTCTTGTGCGTCTCTCCTGTCCCTGACCCTTCTTGAGGTTGATTGCGAGGTGCTTTTCAGTGAGGCTGTTGTGCTGGGGCCATCAGCCATAGACTCTTAGCGCTTTGCACGTTGAAGGTGGTAGTGTATTACTGCTAAAATTATTGTTATGCCCTGAAAAGCTCTCAGAATTCAAGAATAAATACCTTTGTAGCAGTTGATAAAATCATTTGACAATAACTTGAATCAATTTGATTCTTTATTACCATTTGTATAATTCTGATATTTCTAATGTAATTAGTTGGACTTGGTTAAAATAATATTCACTTTGCTAACACTGATCTTGATTTTGCCATTCTTTCAGATTCTCGATGAAATTGAAGAACATAACATCAAAATCTATCACTTACCCGATGCAGAATCAGATGAGGATGAAGACTTTAAGGAGCAGACTAGGCTCCTCAAGGTGAGGACTGGCTGTGGGTGCACAGTGTGAACACCTCCTGCTCACTGTTGCCTGCGCATGCAATTTAGAGGGAAGACTGGGCAAAGGGCTGGGTCTTAGAGGGCTTGACCCACGAGGGATGGTCTGGGTGGGGTCAGCCCAGAGTGCTTTCACTTCAAATATGTTAAAAATAGCTTTCACTGAAGGCCTGGAAATATTATTCCAATTTTAATTTGTTTCTGATTTGTTCCACACGGAAGCTATCTGATACTTGGAAGTAAAGCATGTATGTATGCCTTTAGCTGTCAGCTAAAATTTGTAGTTGACAGCAGTGGGCCAAAACTGCTGGTTATTGTATTTGCCATGAAAATTTGGGGTTCCCTTTGTGGAGCACATTTGCCCTGTGTCTCTTTCTAGGCCAGTATCCCATTCTCTGTGGTTGGATCCAACCAGCTGATTGAAGCGAAAGGCAAGAAGGTCAGAGGTCGCCTCTACCCATGGGGTGTTGTGGAGGTTGAGAACCCCGAACATAACGATTTTCTGAAGCTGAGAACAATGCTCATGTAAGACATTGCTGTCCTACCTCTGGCCGAGCTGTGGGTGTGCATGGTGATCATCCTCAGGCGCATCTGCAACACCTTCATGCTGCACTCAGGTGGCTGGTGCTGAGTGCCCAGCACCAGCTAGCCTCTTCCTCCTGTGGCCTGCAGCTCAGTACATGTTCTTCTTCCTCCTAAATGTCTCAGATTTTGATGCCACAGGGACTCCAGACCTAGACATGGTCCAAGAGCCCCCAGAGTTGGCAAGGAGTGAGGCAGGCCTTTGGTGGGCACTGAGCAGCCACCCCAAATCATCAGCCTTAGCTGTCACTGCATGGTCTCTACAAGCCTGAGATTTCAGTCCATTTTTAGCAATTATAACAAGCTTGGCTACAAAAATAGATAGACTACCTTTAAAAATGCATTTTACATATAATAACATACACGTGTTGCTGTTACTCTTAAAGAGGCTAGGGGTTGGTTTAGGGGGACTCCCTCTTGTCCCTGTGCTGCACCACAGGGTTTGTTCAAATAAAGCCTCACTCCAGTGATCCTGTTAGGAAAAAAGAAGAGGCTATTGGAAAGCATATTACTTAATACACTTCCTTATTTTTAATTAAAATGTAATTATACACATTTATGGGTGACTATGATAATTCAACACGTCTCCAGCACGTGCTAATGAAATCAGGGTACTTCACATTTCCATTTCCTCATCATTTATGCTTGAAACTTTCAAGCTCCTGTCTTGTAGTTCTTCATAAAGTACACTTCCTTAATGAGAAGAGTTCAACGAGAAACTTCCCTGTATAAAGTAACATTTTAATTAGCTGAAGATTGCTGTATATGCCACCAATACCTCACTTTAACAGTTCTTAGTGAATGGAAATGAGTAAGATGTTCACATCCACACTGTCCCAACAGAAATGTACCATAGTGTTTGTTCCTCTGAATGTGTAAGTTTGTTTTTGGCTGGTTTTTTTTTTTGGTACTGGGGATCGAACTCGGGACCTTGCACTTGCAAGGCAAGCACTGAGCTAAATCCACGGCTCTGAATGTGTAAGTTCTTGAAAACGCCAGGCAAAAACACAAGCCATGAAGGTTTCATAAAATAAAGATGGGCCAGGGATTTAGCTCAGTGGTTCTGCCACCTGCCTCGAAAGCACAAGGTCCTGACTTTGATCCCCGGTACCAAAAAAAAAAAGTTGGAAATAAAATGAAGAGAAGCTTTAATTCAGCATTCGTGGGCTTCCCTTCATGGTCTTGTCCATAGCTTATGCTAATCAACTCTTTGTGATGTAAGATTAATATGTAAACTTCAAGCCTAAGTCATCAAGATTTAAACTGCATATTTCCCATAAGATCTTTCAGAAGTGTGTTGTAGTGCAGACCTTGTTTACCTCATAGTCTGTTCACACCTCTGTCTGTCTGCCTCCCAGTGGTGATGGCCTTGTGCGGGGACTGGCAGTGTGGTAGCAGAGGTCCAGTGAGAAAGACTCATAGAGACTTGTCATTCACTGTGGTAACAAGGGAGATGTTACCATGGTCCCACTAGACATTACCATGGCCAGACTCCTTCATCCCGAAGTTGTAGCAACTTCCTTGTACAGTTTAGCCAGTATTAGGGAGGGTTTAGTATACTGCTGGGTGCTCTGTATACTTGTGCTTTCCTGTGAGAATCACAGGCGCACAGCTGCTTCAGTCCTTGCTTTTCTCTTTCAGCACCCACATGCAGGATCTCCAGGAAGTGACCCAGGACCTTCACTATGAAAACTTCCGTTCTGAAAGGCTTAAGAGAGGCGGCAGGTTATCACAGTATCCCAGCTCTTCTGTATCATGTTTCAAGCTGTGTTCTCCCCTCCTCTGTGTGTCCAGCTCAGCCTTCTTTTTTTAGTTATTATTTTTAAATTTTTGTTCTGTTATTTTATTGTTTTAATTTTTATTTTGGAGACAAAGTCTCTCTATAGCTTAGGCTGGCCTCAAACTTGCCATCTTCCTGCCTCAGCCTCCCAAGTGCTGGGATTACAGGGATGTGCCACCACATCCAACTTCTTTTGTTTAGGTTTGATTTCTTCAGATAGTGCCTTGCTGTGTAGCTCAGGGGGCCTTGAACTCGCTATGTAGACCAGGGTGGCCTTGAACTCAACAGTCCGGCTTCAGCCTCCCAGAGTGCTGGGAGTTTAGGCATGCACCATCACACTTGGCTTCAGCTCAGCCTTCTTGACCACTAAGGAGGTACTTAAAAGTGGGCTTCCTGGCTGGGGATGGTAGCACACACCTGTAATCCCAGCACTTGGGAGGCTGAGGCAGGAGGATCACTGCGAGTTCGAGTCTAGCCTGTGCCTACTTAGTGAGACCTTGTCTCAAAAAATCCAAAAAAAAAGTTGGATTCCTACTCAAAAACTGTTAGGAGAAAGTTGCTGCTTGTTAAATCAAGCTTTTGTGGCTTATTAAAAAATTGTTCCATAAAGTACACATGAAAAGTAGTCTAATAAGGCCAGAGGCTTGTATTAGAATATCTCCCAAAGCATCCCTCTGTCTGGTTAAGGACAAACATGTTTGCCATTAAGAACCATAGCTCAGGGCCGGGGATTTAGCTCGGTGGTTCTGCCACCTACCCTACAAGCACAAGGTCCCGAGTTCCATCCCCAGTACCAAAAGAATAAATAAAATATTAAAAAAAAAAAAAAAAAAAGAACCACAGCTCCATGGGCAAGGGTGAACCCACCATGGGTGTCATCATAACAGCAGCTCTGCAGGTTCACAGTGACGCCCTCTCTTACCTTTTATCATATATATATGAGAGAGAGAGACACACATCAGTTCTCAGCTTTGTAGTTCAAATTGGTGTTGAACCTATTATGTAGTCCTTGAACTTGTGGAAATCCTCCTGCCTCAGCCTCCCAAGTGCTGGAATTACAGACGTATACCACTCTCCTAATGTGTTTTTATATGAGATCTGTATTTTGTGACCCAATCTATATCTGAAAAAAATTCCATCTCTGCTCAGAATAGAGCTTAATGAACAAATAAGAGATCTGTGTCAATTATAGTAGCTCATTTAAAGTATTCATATTTTAATAACTTCAATAGGTTTGTTGATATGACTGAGGTACACATTAAAGTCTTAACTTGGCAGGCACAGTGATACATGCTTGTAATCCCAGCTAAAGGCATGAGGATTATAAATTCAGGGATAGGTGGGCCTTGTGGCACACACCTGTAGTCCTAGCCCTTGGGAGGCTGAGGCAGGAAGATAGCTGTGAGTTTGAGGATAGCCTGAGCTACATGGCTGTTTTGTTTTGTTTTGTTTTGGGGTTTTTTTGGTGCCGGGGATCAAACTCAGGACCTTGCACTTTTGAGGCAGGGGCCAGAACCACTGAGCTAAATCCCCAGCCCTAGCCTGAGCTACATAGTGAGTTCAAGGCCAGCCTGAACTATATAGTGAGACCCTAAGTCAAACACCGCCCCCCCCCAAATATATTTTTTCAAGGCTTGGTAACGTAGTGAAATGCTGTCTTCAAAAAATTAAAAGAGGCCTGCCCCGCAAGTGCAAGGACCTGAGTTCAATCCCTGGTAGCAAAAAAATAAAAAATTAAAAGAGGCTAAGGTTATATAGCTCAGTTAGCTCACTGGCAGAGGCTCTCGGTTCAATCTCTGTGTGCATTCAGTATTTTAATCTGGGAACTAGACATTAAGAGCCAGTGGCAGGTGGATAAGCAGCAGCCTGCCAGGAATCTGCTGCTGTGCACCGTGGTCTGGTGTGTGTGGGGAGCACCCCTCTGTCTGCATGGCTGGCCTCCTCACTCAGGCACTGCTGCTCCTGTGAGGCATTCAGTCTGCAGTCACAAGAGCAAGAGTAATGAAAGAAATGCTGTCCCAGCGTGAGAACACAAGTCTGCTGACTTTCCTAGTTGTGGCATTTGTCCTTGTTTTGTTATTTGGTACAGGGGATCAAACTCAGGACCTTGCACTTTTGAGACAGGTGGCGGCACCGCTGAGCTAAATTCCCGGCCCTGTCCTTTTTCTTCATTCTGTTTCCTGTTCTTTTAAAAAATTTTTTATTTCATTTTATTTTTGTCTGTTCCCTTCCTCATTGTGTCTTTAGTTACAAAATAAATGTATGTAATTTTAAACAGATTCTTCTCAGAATTCTAAAAGTAAATATTTTTCTTTGGTTATCTGTAATCAGAACTCACCATATTTGTTGCAGTATTGTAATTATAGTTTCTTTCCACTTTTAGGAAAGTGGAGAATGAGGACATGAATAAAGACCAGATCCTGCTGGAAAAGGAAGCTGAGGTAAGCAGAAAAGTACTATTCTTATGACTAAAGTCGATTGGATTATATCCCAACACAGTTTGTAATTAGCTTCTGATGGTTTTTCTTCCTTAATTTTTTGAGAAGGAATATAAATAACTGTATGCAATAGTTTGTATAAATACATAATATACATGTTACACATATATTACCTTATTTTACCTCTAGTAGTAAGCTAGCTAAAAAACTTGGAAAGAGAACTTAGTAATGTTATTGATCATTTGCCCCATGAATAGATAGTAACCAATTGAAAAATGAAGTGAAACTGCCATTTGCATCCATTACCAAAAATTTGAGATGAAATATATAGGCCTTATATGGGGGGAGAAATTAGAAAACTACTGAAAATATTTTTTAAAGATTATAGTAGGCCAGAGTTGGTGGTACCCGCTTGTAATTCCTGTAGTCAGTAGTCTGAGGTAGGAGGATCATGAATTATAGGTCCACCTGGGGCCACATTGTGAGTTCAAGCCTTTTCAGGACTACACAGTGAAACCTTACCTTAAAAAACAAAACAAAAAAAAAGATTACAGAGACATATGACATTGTAGGTGGCACAGAATCAATAAAGGCTCACACTCCTCTAAATGTGTAGATTTAGTACAGTTATAAAATTCCCAACAGGAATTGTGTGCGCTGGCTGAGTTTTTTTCTTTCTTTCCTTCCCAGTAATTCTAATACCGTTAAGGTAAGCATGGGAAGTACAGGGACGAGGCTTGCTTTACGTATTATAGAAACCCTTGAGAACGGTGGTCATGCAGGCCACCGTCCAGCAGGAGACAAGCAGCATGGCGGTGTCATGGCCGGAGAGCGCCCAGACCTGGATGCAGATATCTAGGGATTATCTAGGCCACCAGGGATTAACTGGATTAAGCCAGTGTAGATCCAATAGTTAAATGTTGAAGCCATAGCCACAAGATTACCTGAAGAAAATCTGAGTAAATGTTTCACATTACTTTACTGGTGGCCTCTCTGAACACATACAAGGCACAGTGATAAGAATTGGTAAGGGTAAAGATCCAACATTGACTGTTTTCAAGGCTACCACCTCATTGGCCTCCACAAAAGCTGAATCATTCTCATTCATTTCTCACTACCTACCAGGTAACCTGTCTCTTTCCCACCTTTTGGGGTAAAGAAAAATAGCATTTTCTTATTTTTCTTTAATTATGTGCTTCTAGTTATTGATAATTTGTGTGTCTTATTGTACTTGCATATTTTTATCATGTACCTGGTTTTCTGTTGAGTTGTTGGTCTTTTTATTGATCTATAAGAATGCCTTTTATTTTACCATGTCATATGTTAGAAAAACATAGAAGTTAAAATTTAATGGCTTACATGGCTGGGGATTTAACTCAGTGGCACTGTGCCTGCCTTGCTAACCACAAGGTCCTGAGTTTGATCCCCTGTACCAAAAAAAAAGTTTAATGGCTCACAGAACATTCATAAATAATGTTCAGGGATGACAAACGGAATGCCAGTAACGTGCCCAACATGCACTGTGTTCACAGCTCCGCCGCATGCAAGAGATGATCGCAAGGATGCAGGCGCAGATGCAGATGCAGATGCAGGGTGGCGACGGTGACAGTGGGGCTCTTGGGCACCATGTGTGAGGTGTGTGCACGAATGCATAAGTCAGAGGCAGTCCCTGGGCTCTCGGGCACCATGTAGGAAATGATGCTTGCATACTTGTGAGTCTTAGAGATTGACCCTGGTGTCCATCAGCCTTGAAAATGGGCAGCTATTACTGGGGATCCCATTGGCTGAATGTGACAGGTTCCTACTTCTGAAGTCTTACCATTGTTTGGCTTTTTTTTCTCTTTATCCCACCTGGTTCTTGATTTGGTTGCTTTACTTTGATTATCACATGGGAACTTTGAAAAAGTCCTAAGATGAGTGTGAAGTTCACACTGATGAATAAAGGAGTCAGTGCTGCTGTAAGAGTCTGAAATGCTCAGCCTATGGTCATCTAACAGGTGATCGGTGACGGAGCCTCCTGCTCTGCATGGGCCAGCCGTGGCTCTTGCTGAGTGGAATGAAATGCGGCCTGCTCAGAGGTAGATGCATTTGACTAGGAGAGAGTGATAGGTGCTCACTTGTTTCCTCTGATTTGTGTCTCTCTCTCTCTCTCTTTTTTTTTTCCCTGTACTGGGGCTCGAACTCTGGTCCTTAAGCTTGCGAGGCAGGCGGCAGAATCATTGAGCTAAATCCCTGGCCCTCTTTTTTTTAATGTAAGGAATTATAAAGACTTTATTTTAGATACGTAAAGTTAATGTTTATCTCTGCATACTTTTCAGTTTCACAGTGCTTCAATTTTCCAGGTACCTCATAAATGACATTGTTTTGTTTTTCTAGGAATCCCTCCTGAATAAAAAGAACACATTCCTGTTGAGGGTTATTGCTACAGATTTTCATGAGATCCTTGGAAGGGTGCCCGTTCTCATATGTAGTACCTGTGCCTAAGAATTCAATTTTTTAAACTTTTGATGTGGGTCTTTTTTTTGTATGAAGTACTTTTAACATTTGTATTTCATTACTATGTTACACTTTATAATTTGTGAGATGAGCTCGTGTTTTCATTTTCTGTCCTCTTAACTAACCACTAATGTTAGAATTGATTTCTGAGAATCAGCCAGCATGTATAGTGAGTATTGAATTGCTTTGCTGTAGCTTCTTGATTTACATCTAGACCATCCAGGTTTAGAGTGTTTCTGTGTGTGGACATGTACCTGTGACCGAGAAGGCTGCGTGAACTTGGTACCAGGGCATTTGCTTACCAGCTTGCACTGTATGGAGCCTGTTACCTTTTTTGGTTTTGGTTTTGTACAACACCCGAATCCTTGGCTGCTACAGTTCAATACCGATAGTTAATTCCTATGCACATTTACCTTTAACAGAATAAAACAGAGCAGACTTTCTAATGAGATAACCTGCTTCTATATAAGTAACTTTTTAAAAACAGAGTTTTAGGGTAGATTCTCATCCTAAGTCATTTTTTAAACCTCTGCAGAGAATTCATCATGAGCACTTTTTATCGTGTTCGCCACGGTTACTGGTTATGCTGTGCTGCCAAGAAAACCAAACCAGCTGTGAGCTCCAGCTTCATGTTGCAGTAATTTTTTACACAATGAGAGTCAGTAAACTGTTTTTACACAACTAAATTAAGAAACCATTTTTAAAGAAATCAGCCTTTTTGTATTTTATGCTGCACTTTAATGTATCATCTGTAACTGCAGGTGTGAAAACCCTCCTGAGAAGTCGAAATTGGAGTACTTTGTTCAGCACACTCCCAGCCCCAGCCTGGGTGTTGGATGTTGTCCTGTTAGAATGCCGTAGCCCCATGAAGCCCAGACCCCTGACTGGTTTTCCTGATTTGAGTGTTCCTTCATTGTTCCTTTTTTGAATAATTTTCTGTTGGGATAAAAATAGCAATTGTCTTATTTTTTATGTGCAGACTGTGATCTATTTTCAGCCACTGTCATTCCCTTCATTTTGCACAATACAGATTTCTCCATATGTCCTATGGAGTGAAAGGCATTTCCAATCTGGGCCACAGGCTGGTAGCCAGGTACCCACAGTCAAAACTGCATCTGGTTTGTCTTCTCAACACTGTGGCCTTGGTCTCCCCTTCCTGCCCTTCCTCCTCCATCTCCCAGTAGTTCACCTTCGAGTCATCTCCGCATTTCTTATAACCTTACAAAACTGGGCCATAGGAAAGAATGGAAGTGTGAGGAAGACAGCAGTTGTACTGGTTCAGTATTTTCATTTTATTGCAACAGGAGCAGTTGTGCTGAAGAAAAGGCTTGATTCGTGATGAGATACAGAGATTTGGGATGTTTTGTTTTGGCCAAAAAAATCCATAGTGAGATGGTCCAAAGGGGTTACAAAGGTTGTGAAGTCGAAGGCTCTAATGGTTAAGCTCATTGTGTGAAGCTTCTACAGAGAAAAGTGTCCTGGACTTTAGAATACTCTCATGCAAAGTCAGTGATTGGGGTTATTTTGACATGTATTAACTGCTTTAAAAAGTATACAAACAAAAGGCATTTTCAAGGTGTCAGTGTCAGCCCTGTGTATGTCTGAGTAGGGTCTGCTTGGGGGCCACTGGCACCTAGTGACGGCAGTGTGGGCTGGGAGGGACACCTGGTCACACTTCTAAATCCGCTTTTGCTTTGCTGTCCAAGTCTAAACATACATGTTCTTTTACTAAGAGATAATCTTTATAGAAATGTATTTTTAAAACACTTTGCATAGCAATATTGTATCCACTTAAACTAATCTTTGTATTCAATAAAGCACTATTGCTTAGATATTTTAGTAGTTTTAATTATTGTTTCTTGTTTTACTTTTTGATTAGTGTATGTTTGTAATACATAATGAATACATTCACTGTGGGGGTTGGTATCTGTACACATGGAATCTTAATCTTTTTTACTTCCCCTTCTCCCCCTCCTGGTCTCTCTCCATCTCTAGATCCTCTTCTAATCTGCAAAAAGACTCCCTGTTTTCTATTATCTTTTATTTTGCTCTTTACATTATTTATACTTTGGGTTTCTCATATAAGAGAAATCATGATATTTAACCTTTTGTGGTTATTTCAATAAGCATGATCTCAAGGTGGATCCATTTTCCTACTAACAACTCTAATATATCTTTATGGGTGAGTAGTACTCCATTGTGTATAAATACCATTTTCTTTATCCATTCTGCTTTTTATGGATGTATACTGCTTCCAAAATTTAGCTATTATGAGTTGTGCTGCTATAAACATGGGTGTGCGTGTATCACTGTAATATGGTGTCCTTAATTCTTTGCAGAAGATACAGAGAGAATAGCAGGGTGGAATGGAATTTCTAGTTTTAGTTTTTTGAGGAATCTCCATACTGATTTCCATAGTTTACATTCCCTCCAACAATGAAGCATTTCTTTTTCACTGCATCCTTGCCAGCATTTGTTTTTCCTTTTTATTTTTTTGGAGACAGTCTTGGTTATGTAGTTCAAGATGGTCTTGAACTCACTGTGTTGTCCAGGCTGGCCTTGAACTCAAGGCAATCCTGCCTCAGCCTCCCAAGTGCTGGGATTACAGGTGTGGGCCACCAAGCCTGGCTTGAGTTCTTTTTTTTTTTTTGGTACCAGGGATCGAACTTGGGTCCTTGTGTTTGCGCAGCAAGCGTTGAAACCACTGAGCTAAATCCCAGGCCCTGGCTTGAGTTCTTAATGATAGAAATTCTTTCTGGAATAAGACAGAATCTCAGTGTTGTTTAATTTGCATTTCTCTAATGGCCAGAGATGGAGTGTGGTTTCTGGGGAACATTCAAAGCCTCAACAGTATCCAGGCATGAAATCAGGAAGAATGATTTGTATCAGTGACATCAGGACTTCATAACTGTTGGAAAGTTCAGCCCAAAAGAAAATGTAAAGGCTGGAATTGTTTACAGGTGTTCAGACCATCTGCCAGGAACGTTCTGAGACCCAGCTGGTAAAAAGCTCAAGGATCCGAGTTCGATCCCTGGTACCAAAAAAAAAAAAAAATTGGGCTAATAAAGAGTTCAGTGATACATGTTCACCAATTAAAAAGTGTAGCAACGACTGTAAAGGCAAATATAAATGAATGAGTCCACTGTATCTAAGGAATTTCTAGTTATCTTCCGTGTTTCTGAGATGAGATGAGAAAGCTCTACAACTTTATCAAAGGAAACTAAAGACCTGAACCTTATCCTACTTTGGATGGCAGAATGCCTCCACCCCAGCCTTGGGCCGTCAGTGAAGCCCACAGGGCACCTGTCCCTGGCTCGTGTCAGTGCTCTCGGAGCTGCACCCAGACCCCTGGGGAGTGGAGCTTTACCATTGAGCTCTCTGCGTGTTCCTGGACCCCATTTGTGCTGTGTCCTGCCGGGCTTCACGGTACGGAGCTCCCCTGCTCGGGCCCGGGTCCCTGGACGAGTGTGCCACTCCGGGGTCTGCCTCTGTAGCGAGGACAGTCCACTGGGCTCATGCCAGGAGCTGGTTGTCGCCAAAGCTGGGGTCTTTGTCGCTGTGACTGATCAGAGGAAAACCCTCTAGTGCTGGGAGACAGGGGACCTCCCCGCAGGGCCGAGCCCAGTCTCTGCGTCCCCTACGTCCTCCTCCTCGTAGGTCAGAGGTCCTCTCGCTTTGTCTTAGTGGAAAACCATCCGGCCTCCTTGAGAGCAGAGCACTGTTGGGAGTCTGAGGACGTGTGCGAGTAGCTGCTGGATTGATTAGCTCAACTGCCCTGTTGGGACAGCTCGTATCAGCCGGCTTCGCAGGCACGGTGGGCAGGATTTGCGCTCAGTGAACCCCTCAAGGAGGCGAGTGTGCTGCTGCGAGTCACAGGCGTGCAAGGCCTGGGATCTGACCGCACGTTTCCATTGCCAGCGGGGATGCCGAGGCCGGAGAGGGACCGCGGAGACTGCCTGTATGCGGAGCAGCATCCAAGGCCTCTGCTCTGCCTTGTCTTCGCTGCAGCACTTTTAAAAAGTACACTAATTTTAGGTGTACAATATACTGACACATTCATTACTGGGCGTTTGCACCTTTACATAATCTATCTGGGTTCTTTTTCCCTCTTCCCCTACCCTCCCTTCAACCTCTCCACCCCCCCATTTACAAAGCCTTTGTTTCATATTTATGCCTTTCCCTCCGGCAGTGGCTCCTAGCGCCAGTGTACCACGGTTAGGCTGGACCCAGAATGGATGCGATGAGTGGGGGTTAGGAAGCGGGCAGATGGCGAGGGAAAACGCACTTGGTGCCAACGCAACAACCCTGCAAGCCGAGGCCCCACCCACCAGGCCCAGTCTGCTGGGAGCGGAGGCCACGTCCAGGACGCCGCGGCTACGCCCAGCAAAGGCTCACGCATCCAATGAGGCCGCCCGGCGAGAGAGGCCCCGCCTAGCGAGACTAGGCCCCGCCCAGGGGACGGTTTCCGCCGCCAGGCCGAGTAGGCCGAGACGGCCGAGACAGCCGAAGCTCCGCCCAGCGAGCCCGGTTGCTGTACAGGTTTGCTTGGACTTCGGCGTCGTCCCCCACCCCCGCCTCCGTCTGCTCACCAATCACAAGTCGGTGTCGCGCTCGCAGGCGCACAGGGGAGGCCCCGCCCCAGTGCGCCGCAGGCCAATCGGCGGTGCGTCCGCGGCCAGGGCGGTGTCACGTCGAGAGCGAGGCGCGGGGGCTGGAGGCCGGCCGGCGGTTGCTAGAGGGCGGCGGCGGCTCGAGGCTCGGAGGCCGCTGTGGGCGGCGCAGGCCTGACAGGCGGGGTAAGGTCGTGGCGGGCGTGGGGGTGCGGGGCGCGGACCGGGTTGTCCTGGGCCTCGCAGCGTGGGGAGGTCGCGGTCCACTGGAGAAAGCGCGCCGGGCTCTGCGGCCTTCGCGAGGTTTCGGTGGGGGACGCCCGCGGGTGGGAAGCCTACGCGGAGGGCGGGGCCGGGCTGCGCGGCCCGCGTGGATGCGGGGCGGCCGCGGAGGAGGCAGCTGCGGAAGCCCGGCCCCGAGCCACAGGTGGAGTCCAGAAGGGCGAGTGTGGAGGCGCTCCTTGCGTGCGTGTCGCAAGTTTTACCTTCAAGGTGGGAATCTGTGTTAGCTGTTAATATTCTTACCCCACTAGGGCCTAGAAACCGTCCCAAGCCAGTGGAAGGCCGCCTGAGGGAAAACCACTGAAATCGGGTACTAGAGCGCACCCCAGTACATTGCACAACCTGGATTCTGAGTATCTTTCCGTGTACACAGGTGAAAGCAACCACGGGCGACCTTTCAGGTCCATTAGTGGCTGTGAAAAACAACAGAAATCATCGAAGGAAATAGTCTCAATACATAGTGTTGAGAAAGAATAGAAAGTTAAGATCCAGGGTCAAATCTTTAAAGGGGGATTTTTCTCTAAGTTTTACTTTGTTTTTTGTGGAAATACTTGATAACCAAGGTGCCGACAGCGTATTGAGACGTGGGAGGAGGGGATATTCGAAGTAGGAAGGCATGGAGAGACTGCACCTGTGGCCGAAATAAAGTTCTTGGGAGTGCCTGGACACCAGAAGACATTTGTGAAGCACTTCATCGTGCCTGTTGATTCCAAAGTCGTTGGAGTAGACATGCCGAGTTACCCGGACCATTGTAAATTGCAGGAAAGGGAGGGTCAGAGAAGTTGACTTGCCGGTTTAGGGTGACACCTTGGGGTATTTGCAAAGCCAGTCACAGCCCCCGCTTCTCCTCTGCCCTTGCTTTCTGCACATGGTTATTACCCAGCTGCTGCTGGTGAACTAGGTGCTGATGATGCACTTTTCTGAACTGCAGGGCTTTCTGCTCTTTTGCCTGTAGAACTGCTGTCAGTCCTTAGTAGAATTTCATGTTCCTACTTACTAATTCCTTTCCCAAGGGGGAAGTTGATATAAGGTATGTTGTTTTATATCTGCCTTTGATTCCTTATCTGCAAAATGGGTTTAAAATTTACTTACCTTTTAGGGTTATTGTGCAAAGAATCTTGTTTATTTTATTTTATTTTTGGTACCGTGGATCGAACTCAGGAACTTGCACTTGCAAGGCAGGTGAGGCCACCTGACAAAGAATCGTTTTTAGAAAGCTGTTGATGCTAGGGGTGCAGTTCAGTGCTAGAACACTAGCATTGCGTGTTTGAGGCACTGAGTTTGATCCCCAGCCCTGGTTTGGGAGTATTAGGAGCCCCAGTGAATGGTAAGTTCCTAATAAATGGTAGTGATTATTTTCAGGTGGAAGAGTAACCTGAGCAGATTGTGGAACTCCAGCCCTATTTATAAAAGCAGTTGACTGAGACGGGAAGAACACAAATTTGTGGCCAGCCTGGGAACTTAGCAAGAGTCTTAAAATTCAAAATAAATAAATGAAAAGAGCTGAGGACGCAGCTCAGTGCTTCATTGTTTTAGTCTTTTGTACTGCTTTTAAAAAAATTTTAAAGGCAATTGAAAATGAATTAGGCAATAATGAAGTAGAGCTGTCATGCGGGGAGGAAAAGGTGAGAGCTGCATTGCCAAAGCAAAGAATAATGCTTAGAAGATTCCATGCATCATAGTGAAATCCCAGCCCCAAGGAATTCACTTTCCTCCTTACTTTGCAAACATTCCTGCTTTAGTCACGTCAACATTTCGTCTGTATTCAGACAGTAACAGGTGTCTTTTATTGTTGCTGCTTACTCTTCAGTTCTTTCATGTTTTTCCATCACCCACCTACCTGCCTGTTAGCTTGCCAGCTTCCCCTTTTCTTCAGTTACTGTGAGCTTTAGTGTTAGGTGTAGAGACAGAATCCCATTGTAAAGTTGTGACTGTGGTTCTG